TGCAATTTGAACAGAAAGGTTTTCTATGAATTTTTATAACTGGTTCTCGATTTTTTGTTCGTTCTTGTTGCTATTTGCTCGGTATTGTACATTTACGTATTCTGTTTGTCTTAATCTAACATTATTATTATTCTAATTTCAACATGAGTTATGTATTTTCTGAAACTTTCAGTTCAATCCGATATTTTTGTGAGAAGAGATCCTCAAAATATGGATGGTTTTCTATGATAATCAGCTACCATTCCCGAACCCAAAAAAGGACTTCTAATGATTAATTCTCTTATTTAGCTATCGAAAGTAACGGATGATGAAAAAACTCAGAATTAATTTTTTTTTGATACAGCAGTGTAATAGAATATTGTAGAGATCTCTTCTTTTTTTTTATTAGAAAGAGCAAAGTGTCTAGTGCAAAAATGTACAAAAGAATTCGATTTAAAATGTTTGTCATAAGCGACAAAACGTACCGAAAAACGATTCTGCAACTTTTTTCGAACTTGTAAAATATTATGACAATCATATTTTGATTTGTCTAATCTGAGTTTTACAATGTACGGGTAATGAAGTCTTGTAGGACGAAAAAAGAAAATCCCTGCATCTTTTATAATGATTATAATGATCGCTTTAGTGATATCGTCTGCTTTCTGATCATATTCGAAAAAAGTAACTATACCTTCTATATGAAAAATATAGCTCAATGAGTCCTCTATTGCACGATAATACTTGAAATAGGACACAGATTTTCTTTGAGATATTCAGTCAAATTCGTAGAATTATTCGATCTCCATACTTTGTCTATTTTTTTTTGCGGTAACAAAACCTGTACCTTGTGTCGCGATGTTCTAGAGAAAGTTAAATTGATAGAAATTCGTTCGAATTATGTCAGGGAGATAAATGTCATGAGATGATCCAAACGATTTTGAATCTTCAATATGAGTTTTCCTTTTTCTTCAGTAAGTTTCACAAAACACTGATTTTGACGATTTGGCCTCCTTATTTTACCCTAGATTATTAAAATTGGTGAAATAATCTCCAATCAGTTGTTGTTAGTAGAAGAAATAATGGCAACCTTCGACAGGGCAGAATCGACTCTTGGTGAAGTCGTTTATGATTATTTTATGGTAATTGAAGTTTCATTGCCCAAAAATTAAGATCACTTCACATCGCTTCGATGTAGTCTTTTGCGAGTTTTCTTTGTGTTTTGTACCTATTAGACGTCGACATTGAACGTTATCATTTTCTATTGCGATGGTCGCGAGAATGAAGACTCCGAGAATATGCGGGTAGATATTCTTGTACTGCTTACATCATACATTGAAGAAAGTAATCGATATGTAAGGAATCTTTTGCTGCATGAAATTTCTATAACTATTTGAAAACAAAATCATGTATATCTCGTCAGCTCTATACCTTTGCTACGCTATCAATAGCAATAGTAAAATACAAAAATTATATGATCTTAATTGTCATCATGACAATCAATCAAAATTGATTTCATCCACATCCATTCATTGTTTATTTAATTATTTCATTATTAAAAAGGCTAAAGGAAAACAAAGATGATTATTAGATATTTTGTACCCTTCAAATGCAGCTTGGTTATTATTATATCACAGTTTGTCAAACGAATGCGATTTGTTCCTACCAGAGGTGCAGGATCTGCCCCTAAAATAACAAATCTTCCTGAGTCGAAAATTCAATTCAAGATTCTTTTGAAAAATTATAAAGTTTTTCTCTGAAAATGGAAGATAACAGATACTGCATTATAAATGACTCATTTTTATTTCCTATCTTTGAAGCATTTAACAATTTATTTTAAAACTTTGACTTTTATGTCAATTAATAGAGAACTTAATTCTCTACAAACATATCGACTTTGTTTTTCGAATAGATTTGTCGCGTCACAGCAAAGTTAGCAAGATTAACATCTTCTCAATCGTATGAGTGCGAAAGTCAACCAAGCGGAAAAATTAAAGAGCTTATAGAAACGGATCTGCTGAAATTTGAAATATGCTACAATATTCTATATAAAATTCCTCATCTTTTTATGTGAATTGGAACAAAACTGAGTCATTGTTGTCGACTGATTCAAAGTAGCCTAACTGTTTCAGATGTTCAAGCGAATGCATACATCATTTCTTTCAGAGTTTAATTTTGTACCCAATATGAGGGTGTGGATGTGAGTGTAGTTTTTTTTTCATTCACACGCACAACCACCCATACCCTTCTTTATTAAAATGAGCTTTGATTTTTAACATTCATTTTACAAACTAATCTATAAAATATCTCAGCCTTATCTATTTGTTTTCTAATTGAACAAAATTTTGAAAATATTCGTTCAATGTTCCATGCAAAATTCACTCAAGCTACCAACCATAAGAATTTACATTTTCATTTAAAGATTACAAAAAAAAACAGTCTTTGATATGTAGTATAAACATCGAACACTTGCACTTCAATAGAAAAATTTTTAAAAAAGTTTTTTTTTTACATCATATTATCATAATCTAATTTTTTTAGATAAAAATGTGATGCTACTTCATAGAACTATTCCTTTTCAATTCTAATATCGAGTCTTATATATTGCTTCGTTATAAATACAAGTTGCAAACAAATAACATAACGCAGTAATCGTTCAAAGATATAAGTATTGCGATATAATTATTAATACAGTTTGTTGATGACGTACTGTTTTATACATTCTATTTTTACAAAATTTAGCTGTATATTAAATACCATTAAATGCGTCAAATGCTTTATTTGAGGATCAATACCTATTGCATTTTTCTTTCTTGCTATCTATATTCATGAAGACTTTGTCTACATTGAAGAAAAAAAGAATAAGAAATCTAGAAACTATTTTTAGAAATTTCTTATGTTTACCTCGTATTTTTTCCGACTAGCCGATAGTGTTGTAGATCATTTTCTACTGAAGATAATTCTCCTTGTATTTCATATATCTTAAATAAATGAATGCTAATATTAAACTATGAAGATATTTTCGACTTCATTTTGTATAAGTTCTTTTTTACTATAGGCGTACGTAAAAATGTTACCTCTTTCAATTGATGTGTAATTACAATTAATAATTATTTTCCTCTCCAAAATTGATTTTCTATACATCCTATCGGATTTCAGAACAAAAGTTTTTTCTCTTATCATTATCTATCGATTCTGAAGAAGTTCTCCATGTTGCGCGAATGAAAAGTAAATCCAAATTTTTGAAAAATCTATGCATGCTCTGAAAAACTTTCGATAGGGATTATTTATTCTCAAGAGTTGTCTACAGAAATGTATTAATTATTAGTTTTCGAATATGTTACTGTCATTTGGACTTTTTTAAACTAAAATTTATGAAATGAAAGTAAATATCCTTCTACGAGTCATGTTGTTAACGCTAGGTTCTTTATGATAATTTTGACGAAAAAAAAAGCCTTTTGGTATAATTTTTTCAAGGTATCTACAATCACTGAACATATAACCATTAGCTCTAGGAAAGTTCATTATTTCGAAATATATGCTTTTTAATTTTGAAAATTCACGTTTCTCATGAATGGTTCGCTCAAATATTCCTAGATATGTCATCGAAATAATACTGATTATGTTCTAACAATAATAATATTCTATACAATTTAAAAAATTATTTAAAATATTTATTAATTTAGCATATTAAAGGTATTCGATATACTTGAAAATTCTATTTTAAATTTAATTTAATACAAATATTCTTTAATATCTTCAAGACATAATTTTCAATCAATGTTATTCTATCTAACAGCAATCTTTTATTCAAGTACTGACATATACTTAACCACATTATTAATAAACAATTCAGAAGAATAAAAGAATTAATTGAATAGATCATTTTGAATTAAGAAAAAAATTCTATGACTCATGGATACAATTTTAATTCTAACGAATTTCTTAAATTCATCTAACAATCTTCAGAATTCTCGCATGTCTTATCATTAAATGATATTGATATTGACGTGTAACACAATGATTAATAGCTATTGTTATATTAATAGTTGTTCAACTAATTCACTATTTGTTATTACTAGACTTGAATTACCATGAGTAGTTGATAATAGTTCAGGGTGTGGGTGTGAGTGTAATTGTGTGGGCGTGCGTGTCATTGTGGGTGTGGGTATAGGTGTGAATGTGGTTGTTGATGTATGGATGTGAGTGAGCGTGTTCTCTACCCTGAAAGCTACAGCCAGACCGATGCATCCATCCACACGCTCACCCTCTCTTCTTTTCTTCTTTTGTTTGGTGATATCTTAGTCTGTTGGCTAACAAAAACACTTCTTATCTTTATTTTCTATCTTCATGTTCACAACTACTACTCTTCATTAACAAAACAAAGCAACAACTGACTATATAGTCACACATAACATAACACATAAGTCGGTCTAGTGACCAATAGATAGATAAAAGAAAGAACAAGAGAGGTAGTGGTGAGAGATAGCGCCACTACCTAACACCTCCGTCATTTATCAGTGAACGGTTTTATCTGTTCACGAAAATAGATATCAAACAAAGGAACAGAAAATAAAACGAATCCAAGATTACATGAGGTGTAATAACATCATAACTGAGAACAAAAAATTAATACAGCCAATATGAAAAATAAATGAGAAGGAACGATAGTAATTCCGTTGTTGTTGGTTTTTCTTTTCTTTTATAAACATAAGTATGTCATGAGATATGGTTTGAGTTATATGAAAGTATAAGTTCATCAGGAGGTTATATGTTAATTGAGGGACCGTATGTCGTGTACAGGTACTTGTACTTGATGACTGGTATTATCGTTTGGAACAACATATGTTGTATCATGCAATCGATCGAGAATGGTGTAGGAGCCAACGAATCGTGCGGATATCTTGTTGATATGTGAATTTCGATTACGAACTAAGACTATCGAGCATTCGAGTGGTTTTGATCATAACGTTGTTTAGAAGATTGTTTTGTCGAGCCGCAATTTTTGTATACTCAATAAATTTTTACATAGTATGATGATAATGACAAATAGTATGAGAACTTGATGGAAATGATGAGGATAAATCAGCTACAAAACGAGGTTGACGAGCAAATATTAATTCGAATGGGGTATAACCAGTAGAATCACGTCGAGTAGCATTATAATTAAAAGTTGTAGCGACTAATTTGTCAACCCAATTAGATCGAGATTGATTCGAAAGTGCAACTAGATTAGGTACTAGAGTTGCATTATGTCTTTCGCATTGATCGTTGGCTTTGGGGTTATATGGTGTGGTTTTAACATGACAACATTGAGTCAACTTGAGTAGGAATTCATACAACGAAGGAGAAAAATGTGTGCCATTATCAGTAACAATTTCAAATGGAACACCATAGATCATAAAGACATCATATAATAAAAATTTAGCAGCTGTTGTTGACGTATTGTCGGGGACGGCTTTGGTGATGACGAGCTTCGAAAATAAATCGGTTAGTACTGGAAAGTATTTATTACCGGATTTTGATTGAGTAACAGGACCAACATAATCCATAGTAAGATATTCCCAAACTCCACGAGATGGTTCAATTGGATGTAAATGACCATCAGATTTTCGACGGGAAGGTTTATTCTTTCGACAATTAATACACGATAAAATATGTCGTTCGATATCTTTGTACATATCCGGCCAGAAAAAATGGTTGTGTATCTTGTAAAAAGTGCGTTTAATACCGAAATGGCCACCACTGAATGTCGAGTTATGATGCATTAATAATACTTGAGAAGTTAAAGAAGCAGGAACATAAGGTAATTGAAGAACATGACCATTCTTTCGAGTAATAATTTTATAAAGGATATTATAATCATCAAGTGTATATTTAGAATTTAATGGTGAAACATTTTTTATTGCCTGGATAGCAGAATCTTGATTTTGATGTAGATTTAATGTATCATGATCGAATGAAATATTAATGTCATTAAGAGATGAAGAAGAAGATACAACAGGTGGAGTAGATCGTGATATCCTAGGTGTTGTTGTTGTTCTAGGAGAAGGAGATGATGAGGAAGTTGTTGTTGAAGGAATAGGAGGTGGATGTTGTCGTATCATTGAATGAGTTGTAACAACATTGACGAAAGATCTTCAGTTTGAGTTGAAGAAGTAACAAGACGTGGTGCATCTTCGTCATTAACATCAGGTTGATCAACTGGATAACGGGAAAGAGCATCAGCTGTTGTACTATCTCTTCCAGGTATATGTTGGATAATCATATTATATTGTTGTAATGTTGTCATCCATTGTTCAATACGAGCATTATGATAAGGTTTTTTCATTAATGATATTAATGGTTTATGATCAGTTTCAAGAAAAAATTGTTGACCTTCAATATATGATCGAAATCTTTGAGTAACGCTCCACCAAATAGCTAATGCTTCAAGTTCAATAGCAGAATATTTTTTTTCAATTGCTTTTAAACTTCACGATGCAAAAGCAACTGGTTTATAAATTGATGTAGTTGATTTATCTCTATAATCAGGAGGTTGCTTTTGTAATTGTACAGCATCTATGCCGGCACGTGAAGCATCTGTACGAATAACATATGGTTGTGAATGATCAGGTAGAATAAGAACCGCAGCAGAGGTGATAGCGTCTTTTAATTGATCAAATGATAATTGTTCTGCCTCAGTCCATATAAATAAAAACCTTTCCAAGTAAATCTATTGAGTGACGCTGATATTTGAGAAAAACGAGGAATAAATTTTCGGTAACAGCCAACCATTTGTAAAAAAGGAGCAGCTTTACTGGATTGTAGTAAAGGAAATTGAGTAATAGAACGAATATTATCATTATTAGGTGAACAACCATCAGCATTAATTTTATGGCCAAGAAATGAAATTTCACGTTGAAAAAATGCACATTTATTATAGTTTAATTTAAAATTTGAGGCATGTAATACTTGACATACTTGATTTACGTCTAAAAGATGTTGATCAAATGAAGGGGAATAGACGATAATATCATCCAAGTAAGCGAGACATACATCTCAACGTAATAATCCAAGGGTTTCGTTCATTAATTGTTGAAAAACTGATGGTGAATTTTTTAATCCTTGAGATAATCTGGTAAATTCCCAAAGACCATCAGGAGTTGTAAATGCAGTTTTAGCACGTTTTTCAGGTGCTAAAGGTACTTGAAAGTACCCATTACGTAAGTCAAGTTTCGAAAATATTTGAGATCCATTTAAACGTTCAATGACATCATCGATACGAGGTAATGGATAAACATCTTTTTGAGTAATGGAATTTAAACGCCGATAGTCTATGCAAAACCTTGGAGATCCATGAGATTTCTTAGCTATAACAACACGAGAAGCCCAAGGGGCATTCGAAAGTTCAATAATTCCATTATCTAACATTTTCTTAACTTCATTATTAATAATTTGTCGATTAAGGTGTGAGACTCGACGTGGATGTTCAGCTAAAGGAGAATGAGAACCGATGTTAATAGCGTGTTGTGGTTTACAGGTAATGCCTTGTAAAAATGAATCATCAAAAAGTTGTTGATAGTGATGTGGCATGAGGGAAGCTTTCATTCTCTTGACAGGATCATCGATATGTTCAACTAAGGGAGGAATAGTCTTTGTTGTACCTGTTAAATCTTTATTACACGGCTTGTCCACGTAACGCGTCACCTCGCTGACCAAGAATTCGAAGTCATCATTTCATCAATTCGCCATTGCTACCTTATAGAGCACAGTCTATAGTATAGAGAAATATATTTTGTTCTTTCAATAAGTGCTGAAAATCATATTTGATAATTGTTAATAGAGGTGTCACTAAATATGTATAGGAGAATAACCATCTGGACCCTATAATTAGTCCAACCCTTCTATCGAAACATTGTGATAAATATATACATAATTGAGAGCAATTGATTCTACGGTAACAGAAGTATCATTTAGAAAAACAACCGATTTCCCATTTTCTACAGTCTCTTACTACCGCATCAAGCAAAAGTACCGAATTGATAGCGTCATTGCGTAACAAAAAATGAGTATTGTTTGTTTTTCACTGGTTAGTCTCATCCTTTTTTTATACAAAATGCATACCTAAAGCTAATTTTTTATGGGCTATCTACTGCACGTATTTTCATGCGAAAAGATTCTGTTTTAGAATTGTTGCATGTAACGCGATGACGTTTTTTACCTTTTTCTTTGTTTTGGCATATTTGAGAAGGGACATTTCTGAATATTGATTTACTATTCAAAGGTCACTATTCACTACGGATAATGAATTTTATAATTGAGTATTAGGAAGTTGTGATAAGATTATGGTTGATTGGTCCGCGTTAATAATGAACAATAAAAATGAAAAGACCAATCCAAATTAATATATTGTTTCAATTAGGGTAATCATCTTTAATTCTAAAAAAAATTTTAATATCTGTATTTTGTAAAACATTATTGAACTTTCATTGATTAAAAAATTTTCATCAGCTTTTGAATTTGTTAAATATTAACACATATTTTTGATACTGCAGTAACTGGCTAAATGGCTAAAACAAATGCAGAAAGACAAAAACTTTATCGTGAAAATTTATTAAAAAATAAATCGAAGTATGATCAAATGAGGAAAATATCTCGTATACGTGATAATAAAAGACGTCAAAATTTAAATAGTGATTTATTACAACAGTTACGTAATCGACAAAAACAAGCATCAAAAAAATATCGTGATAGAAAAATACTTGAACGTATAAATAATAAACAATCATCATCATGTAAATCTCGTCAATCATTTGGTAAAGCAGTCAAACGTGTTCTTCAATCATTACCAAAAGATATTAATAAATGTGTTAGTGTAGTTCATCATATTGCACAAGAATTTAATATCATTCCAAAAACAACATCTCATCATCAACGTGAACAACGTCCATTATCAATTGAATTAAAACAATTAGTTATGAATTTTTATAGCCGGGATGACATCAGTTACCAGTTACCTGGTAAACGTGATTTTATTACAATCAAAGATAATAATGGAACTTGGAACGTCAAAAACAATATAAAAACGAATTCTTTTATTTAGTTACGTGAAGCACATCAACTATTTCTAATTGAACATGATCATACAAATGCTTATTTATCATTAGGATCATTTAGTGATCTTCGACCATCAAATGTACTTCTTCAATCTCATATGACACACCGTAATTGTTTATGTGTTTATCATGAAAATATAAATTTATTGGTAAAACCATTATCAAAATATATTCCATGTCCTGGTTTACATTCACTACAAGCATTTTCATCAACACTTGTTTGTTGCGAGACAAATGAAGAATATATGTTTAGTCAATGTTCTTTATGTGCAAATAACTTCGAAAAGAAAATAATAAAACATGTTACTAATTTTACACAATCAGTTAATTGATAACAATGGGTTTTAAAGATGGATATTCTAAAAAGATTGAATTTAATGGTACAATTGGTGAATGTATAGAAGTTTTAAAATCAAAAGTAAATCAATTTTTAGCTCATGTTTTTATTAAACGTCAACAATCGGAATATTTTGAAAAAATGAAAAAAAATTCAAATAATGAAAATATTTGTTTACAGATTGATTTTAGTGAAAACTTTCGATTAGATATTCAAGATTCTATACAAAATTCGTATTACTCGAAAAATGCCGTTTCGTTAATCACGTGTTATGTTTGGTGTGCTAGTAATGGTTATCCATTTGTTTATGTATTAAATAATCTTTCACACGACAAATATTGTGTGAGTGCGGCATTGGAAGATTTATTTCAAAAATTGAAACAACAATTATAAGAGTTAACACAAATTAATATATTTTCTGATGGTGCAAGCCAACAGTTCAAACAAAAATTCCTAATGAGAAATATTTGTCGTTTAGCTGATGATTTTGGAGTAAATATTTTAATCATAGTTTTTATCAAGTTCTAACTAAGTAATTTTAAATTGTTTAGATTGAATTAACTTGGAACTACTGCGCCACCTCCCATGGTAAGGGGGTGGTTGATGGGTTGAAAGGTACAATTAAACGTCTTGTCTATAGAGCAATACTTAGTGGACAACAATGTAGTTCAGCAGCTCAATTTGTAAAGATTGCTCAATCCAAAACAGATATTATCAATGTTATTGAATTGGAAAATATTCATATTGAAAATTCAACGGCAAAAATGGAAAAAATTTTCCAATCAATAAAGACAGTACCAGAAACAAAAACAATTCATTCAGTGAAAGTATTTCAAAATAATACACTTGAATATAAATATTATTCGAACAGTTCAAAAAAAAAACCTATCGATTTTTAAATTAGAACAAACTGTATGTATATATATCGTCTTTCATTTGATTAAGTGCCACATTATTTGACATAGTAAACCTATATCTTATCAACATCAATGTAACGCAAATAAGATTGTTGTATATGTAAAATAGTTAGTTTGTATTTTGTGCTCTCATTTTGTATTATCTCATATTGATAGCCTTTTATGCATGTGTTGAAATGTTTAAAATTTTTTACTGTATCCACATATCGGTTATTATATTGCTGTATTTATTTCGTGTTTTGTTATTTTTTCTATGTCGAACTTATTTATAAATCAAATATTTAACACTCTTTTATGATATAGGTTCAAGTAAAGTATTGGTTTGTCTTCACAGATCTACATTTCTAACAAAAGCAAGTAAAGCGAAAAACTTGATTAAAAAAATAAGCGTCATCGCGTTACGGGGCCGCCATCGCGTTACATTAATGAAACCGATCCCTCTTCAAAATAAGAACTCTGTTTGAAAATCTTTTTTATCTGTTGAATACCTCAAACTGTCGGCCACAAAACGCCTATAGAAGGTTCCTATTAATACAACAGAAAATTGGCAGGAAAATAAACAGCAATCATGTCACCGTCAACTTTTTGTCCCTCGTTCCTCATCGCGTTACGTCATCTATTTTTGCTATAATTTTTATATGACTCTTTCAAACGAGCTCATATTTTCAGAGGTTGTGGGGGAGACAGAGGTACATCTTCCACCGAAAGGACGAGTCTTCTCGACAACCTCATTGCTGAGAAAAGTTAATAAAGCTGCAGCCAAAACGTCATCGCGTTACGCTTGGACAAGCCGTACAACAATGAAACAAATGATCATACAGTGTTAATTCAGTAGAAAAACGAACACCACAATAGTTACATGATAATAAAGATAAAGATGAAGAAGAAGAATCAGAAAAGTTCATAGGTGATGCATAAATGACGTTGAGACCCGCTGTTGCAGTTGATGAATAGATAAAACCAAGTGGACTATTACGTGGAATGTATCTTGAATGACAAGTATTATTGATAATGGAAATAACACCACGATTATCACGAATATGAAGAAGTGAATGAAGAATTAGGACCATTCTAGCATGTTGTAGAGCAATATTAGGTGTAAATAAGGCATCGTCTAATGATTTAAGAGGTACATAACCATAAATAAATTTTTGATGAAATGGAGGAATAACAACAGAATGTGATAATGACATAATTACTGGTTCATTACGAGATATAGGTAATAAAGGAGTTGAAGCAAGACCATTATAAAGATAAATACGATTGGTACAAAAATTAACATTAACATAATTTTGTTGAATCCAATCACGACCTAAAATCATATGACAAATAAGATCACGTGTAATATAAGCATCAATATGTGTATCAAGATGATGAATTTGAACAGTAAGTTTGACTATGCCAAGGAGAGATATAAAGCCACTATTGGCATTATGAACTTCTTTTAATGAGCAGGGCATGATGGGTTGGTGTTGCATATTGGATAATGTTCTATCATGAATAAGAGAAATTGCAGCACCAGTATCAACTAAAATTGTAGTAGAGACATGATTGACTGGAACATGAATTGAAGATAATGATAGAGGGAGTGATGGTTTTTTCTTTTTTGTAGAAGTACCACCATCTTGATACCTATTTAGATGCTTTTTCGATTGGGACAGTATTTGGCAATATGTCCAAATTGATGACATTCATAACATTGACATGCGGCAAGTGATGAAGATGTAGGTTGAGGAACAGAACGAGAAGTTGAAAATGGAGACTGGTTATAAGTGAATATTCGATTCATAAGTGGTTGTGGAGATGATGAAGGTGGTTGCCCATTATAAGAACGTGTACATGGATTGGTCGATCATTTCACGAGTGAAACTATCCCGTCAATAGGATCACCACCATCAGTTGGATAAGTATCAGGTGAATTGATTGAAGCATGTCGTAATTCATTTAATGTAAGTTATATTTTTTTCTTCATCTTGTGCAATGATAAGAAAATCAGCAGGTGAAGCACGGTGACGACGAATAACGTGAGGGACTAAAGAGTTATTTAATTCTTTAGTTAAATGATGGAGTATCATCGCCGAGCTCATATTCAAATCAGCTTGTAAACATAATTGAAATTTATCATGATAATATGTCATAACAGGTTCATTTTAGGTGATTGTCGTCATTTTTCCATTTTTAATAAGATTTGATTAAGTGATGGTTGATAAGCTTTAACAATTTCAGCTTTGAATATGAACCAATCCGTAATACTAGAGTTGTTATAACGAAACCAGTTTTTAACAGCATCAGTGAGATACGATTGTATGGCAATAAATTTATTTGATGCTTGTAATTGCGCTCAATCAAATACTGCTTCCATATATTGTATCCATTTAATAACATCTTCATCTGGAGCACCACCAAATTTAGAAAGACTTCTAATTTGTTCTTTAGCTAAAGTATTCATAACCTGCTCTTCCATAACTGATAAAAATGCTGGATGATAAACAATATGATTGAGAGAAAATTCGGAATAATGAGAAAATTCAATATCAATATCAGATAATCGTTTTGCTTCTTGTTGAAATAATTGTTGATAATGTGAATGTGTTATGACCATATAAACAAATAAATGTAATGAATAAGCGAAAGACCAAATTAAATATCACCACGAAGGAGTAAATCACCAGAAATAGATAATAATGGAATGAGTAAGTTCAATACGAAAAAAAAATAACAATGATCAGGAATTGATAATAACACGTAATAATCAATAGTAACTTGGATATCAAATGAATGAATGTCGAGTAAGAAACACTAAACAGAATAAACCGAGAAAAAAAACAAGCAAAACTTATCGTAGTCAACGAAGAGTTGTCGACGAGGGTCACGGCACCAATTGTTAGTCTGTTGGCTAACAAAAACACTTCTTATCTTTATTTTCTATCTTCGTGTTCACAACTACTACTCTTCATTAACAAAATAAAACAACAGCTGACTATATAGTCACTCATAACGTAACATATAAGTCTGTCTAGTGACCAATAGAGAGATAAAAGAAAGAAGAAGAAGAGAGGTAGTGGTGAGAGATAGCGCCACTACCTAACATGATAACAGCTAACTGTCACTTTAATTAAGCGAACAGGTTTCATTAAGCACGCGGCTCTTCAATATAATTTGTTTGCGCATTTTCTTCTTGATTGGATTTTGGTATGTCACTATAAATAAGTAATTTATGCATAATATGAAAGAGAAAAACACATGCATGTGTTTTTTTCTTTCATATTATGCATAAATTACTTGTTTATAGTGATAAAAAATATCTAATCAAGAAAGAAATGCGCAAACGATAATCAAATTGGAGAGCCGTGTGCCCAATCAAACCTGTTCGCTTAATTAAAGTGACAGTTGGTTGCTATCAGAAAGACAAAAAAAAAGAAAGACCGAAAAAATATGAAAAAAAGTAGATACTGATCATTATTTACAGTACGAATTGATCTAATAAGCATAACATATTCGATCAGCGTTCGAAATGTAAGTGTGTTTTCGTTGTATTTAAAATATGAACAGTGATATATTTTAATTCTAATTATTTCTGGTATTTTATCAGAGAGCTTGTAAATAGTATATTTGAAAAGATAAAGCAATTATTATAAGTATAACTAATCGGATAATTGATAATCAAGGTCACACGACTTTTTATTTTTAAAAATAATATCTTCTACGATTTATTTAACATGATTATAGTGACGAATTTTTTATGACGAAATCCGATTGTTACGATGCACAAAATATTCATTGATTGTATTCATTTTTTTAATGATGGTAGATTTTTCATAGTGACCTATTATACATTTATAGTATCGCTAAGCTCGTAGAATCGATTGATAATTTAGAATAGTCTGTATGAGATACAGAGACCAATTCATTTTCATTTATAAGATAAATATTTTGTTGTAGATTGAAATACAAAAAGTTTTAAGAGTGAATTAGATGATACATTTTTTCTATCGTAACATGCATTTGATAGTGATCAATTATGAGAAATGAAACCATTAGGTTTATGGTTATCTTTGATGTAAATGTTCATGAAACTACACCATCACTTTACTATACATATGAATCTATTTGAACAGACCATAAATGCGCTCCCTAGTAGAATATCTTGTAAGCAAGATCTTGGCCAAGTTACTAGGCACAGAAAAGTGAACAGATCTTGAAAATTGAGATACAAGATAATACAACAATATCTTGTACCAAGATCTTTTATTAGATCTTCTATACAGTATATATGTTTCAAAAGCTGATATCGTAATTCATGCTGAAATACTTGTAAAGACTTTTCAAGCAGTCTATCGCATGTAAAATTTCATACTGATTTTGCATTTGTAAACAGAATTTAATTAAAATCACGGTGAAATAAAATAGACTCTTACTTTTTATTCGAAAACCTTCCGAAATCGTTAACTTCTGGACTAACACCGAATAAAAATTTTGTTTCCTGAGTTATTTCAGCATAGTGTAGTTCTAGAAAGTGTAAAATTAATCTCCAACAACAATTAAGAGCTGAAGATCTTGTTGCAAGATATATATAATATTTTGAAACGATTTTTTTAAAGATCTGCTAGAACTTAGTTCATTGAACTGGTAGTGGATGAAAATAGACGAAATTCTTCGAAATAAATTTTTTTTTTCTAAAATGAAGCATGAAAGCAGCATAAATTGTTTCTGTTAACATGACGCTATTACTACATTAATCCATATTAGATCAATTAGAGTTTATATAATCAAGCGGTTTCAATTGTGTTCAGATGATTCGTTTTTCGAAGATCGATGTTAATAAGATTGGTAACCTTGTATTGCATGGACTACTATTAATACAACCTCAGTTTTAGGAAACTTTTTAGTATTACCGCGGCATCAAAATTAAGACTTATGAGAATATATCATTAAAATAAAAATAAAAATAATACTGAATATGCAATGCAATCATTAAGTCAAATTCAATATTTTAAACTCTATTATTTATGTTGGAGAAAGAATGAAACTGAAGAGTATATCTTAACATCTAATAGAAATATCCAAGAAGTGAAATTACTGTAGTGCATTCAGCTGAAATAGCAAAAGCTAACAATTGATACTTTATTGAGATACAGAAAGAAGAAATTTATTCTCCTAGATTTTTCGTTTCTATCACTATAGGAAATGATTCTATTTTGTAGTTTTCAAAAATTACCACTTATCAACAGTTATGAAGACGAAAACGTTGAAAAATGGAAAGCAAGCATCAAGAGAAGATAATAACAGTTCAAATCACCAACCAGCAGTCGAGCCGAATAAAAGACACATACAAAGTGAAAGAACTAGAGACCAAAGTCAGATGAATATTTCTGATGATCATCAAGGAACAGCACACAAAAATCACAAGACTAAATCGAAAGAAAAACAAATGCAAATCGATATTGAATTTCAAAATCAACCAGTCCGCACATCTTATACATCAGAAGTAGAATTTGATGAAGAAACGTCTATTGATAATCAAGAACAAACTATAAAACAAGCCGAACAGGTTGATGTTGCGACTAATAGGTCCACTAAACCAAAGCATCGAGTTTCAAAGACAATCGGTATAAATGAAATTCTACCAAATCCTAGCGAACCGATTACATTTGAAAATGACCCATCCCCGATCATTGGATATGCTGCTGAGCCTATATTGCCACTTCCTCTGGCATGTGCTCCACTCTTTGATATTCTTTATAATTTGGTGTTTTATGTTCAGTTGGCACTAGATGAAACGCCCGAAAATCCACCAAATGGTTTAACAGTTCATGAAAGTGCTGCAATTCGTCTATATACTCTCGAATGGGAAACACCACATAAAAGTCTCTATTCAATGCTCAATTACACTCTTAAAAGTAGCAATCGTGAAGAACTTCGACCTTATTTCAAGTATATGAAATTATTCTTGACTGCACTAGCCAAAATTCCGTGTGAGCCAATTACAACTGTTTGGCGTGGAGTTAAAAAAGATTTGAGTGCAGAATTGCAACCTGGTACTTCACTGACATGGTGGTCATTTTCTTCATGTACAAAATCACTGACTGTACTCGAGAATAACATGTATTTAGGCACTGTAGGAGAGCGAACTCTTTTTTCTGTCGAAGCCATCAATGGACGAATAATAAGCGATCATTCACATTTCACCACAGAAGATGAAGTTCTTCTTCTACCCGGCACTCATATGGTAGTTGTATCTCACTTGGTTCCATCACCTAACCTTTATATCATTCATTTGAAACAAGTTATACCAGAGGAAACCTTGTTGGAACCTCCATTTAAAGGTAACACCATAAAGATTTTCAGATTCATGTTGAAAAAATAACAGATATTTCTATTTTTTAGGCGCACTTCTCTATCCAAAGCCCGAGTGAGTTTTGCTTCATGTCTAATCAAAGATTCTTTTTACAGCAAAGAGTTGTGATTATATGTTTAGGCGGCCCTGGTATAAAAAGAAGCGATATGTTCTACCCTTATGCTTATTTATAATTCTATCGATCACAGCGATTGTTATTGGTGCTGTTCTTGGATCACGAAAGACAAACGAAATTCCAAGTATGCTTTGTTTTTCTAATATTATTCTCATTAACATTTAAAATCAGGCATCATACTCTAATTTATATCAGCCATAGATCAAAGAGATACTAGTGACCAGTTAATCCATTAGGATCTGGTATCAATTTCACTGATCTAGCGGTCCAAACCAGTTCATCAGATAATAGCACTTGTTTCTATATTTTTGGAAATAAATTCCAAGAGAACATTGTTGAGCAATTTTCATGAGAAAAAATCAATAAAATTACCGTTCTAGGTAAATTTGTAACAGAGAGAAACGTTGTTTCATGGGTAGTTCAGTCTCCATCAGTAAGTAGACTGTTAAAACGACACCATTATTGTTCTGAAAAAAACTAGATCGGCTTCATCTAAGGTTGAAAGTTCTGGCATTCAATTATCCGTAACTTTCGGTGACCGATTCGCATCAGGTTCTCTGGACTTTATGCGCTATGAAGAGTTCATAAAGAGATAAATGTTTTTAAAAACACCATATAGAATCTCTATGGATATGAGCAATACATAAATATTAATTGACACACAGATGGGCAGTCAGTGACCTACCCACACCCACACCCTCACCATAAGAGAGTTTTTCTATATGATGATTCTGACATTATCAGGCGTACTTCTCCTATAAGAAAATAAAAATCATCAGAAGTTTATTTTCATCTTTCATCTAAGAATACAGAAGTAATCTTAACATGATTTTGCATTCTGAAACGTAGGATTTGTGAATATTTTACGAAACCGCAGCAATTTTTCAGATCAGTAAAACTGAATATGGTGCACAATAATAAAATCCGATCTAGATAAAACTTCACTTGTTTTCATTTCGACACGTATATTTTGATATTATTTGACAGCCGAGTTATTCTACAAAATTGAGTACTAGGCGGAAGCAAGTAGGAGAAGAATTGATACTATTTAATTCTGTTTTTCTTGTAGAGATTATATGCAAAGATCCATATTCATTACGAAGTGTCTCTAAGACTGGAAAAACACCGG